ATGTTTTCACTCCCTAATACCCGTATCGACATTGGCCTCCAAAAATCCATATCCCTCAGTCTCTAGTTCATTTTGAAAGTGTAGAGGTCAGAGGTCGTCCATGAATGTGGCCCAGAGAATATTCAGACTTTTTGCTAAATAAACTGATGGATGATCAGAGAAGTAGAGCTGTAGAAAAATGTACGTCTGTGTCATCATGTTAAAGCTTTTTCCCTCTTGTCTCTCAGGTTGATCCGTCGCCTCGCCAGATGTGGCCTCTGCTCAGACTCCTGTTCATGAACGGCAAGAATGCGTTGATTGAGCGGCTGTGGCTCGGCCTGGAGGGATGACAGGACTTTAGCAGACATGGAGACAGGGGAGACGAGACGCACAGACAGCTGCAAACACCACATTTACGAAGTCTAGATTTTCCATCGCATTAGTTTCCCTTAGGTTGCGAGCAAACGCTATTTTTATATATTTTGTATTCAGAGCTGTTTTTGTTAGTTTATTTAAAGCCATACACAAGCAGACGGCAGGATGAGCTCGGAGGGTTTTCAGTACCAAGCGCTGTACGACTACAAGAAGGAGCGGGAGGAGGACATCGACCTGCATGTGGGGGACATGCTGCTGGTCAGTAAAGGAGCGCTGCTCGCCCTCGGCTGCAGCAACGGAGCCGAAGAACGACCGTCTGAGATCGGATGGCTGCCGGGCTTCAATGAGACCACACAGGTTCGACCCGGCACCTTTCATTTGCTTAGGCCTGGTAAATCCTGGATTAACGTGTTTAGAGATGGTTTAAACTTGATTTTTAAAATCTATTATGCCCTCTGGTGGACAGACTCTGTAATGGTCAGTGTAGTATAATTATTGTAATGATAACATGTATGTTCAAAGTTCTCGTTTGATTCAGACTTTGTCTGCGTCTCTAACTCGTTCCTCTCTCGACCTCAGGAAAAAGGTGACTTTCCAGGAACATATGTGGAGTTCGTCGGTAGAAAGAGGATGTCCCCGCCCACACCAAAGCCCCGCCCACTGAGACCGCCATCTGCAGCGTCGGTGAGGACCGACTCAGAGTCTGAGGGTGAGCGCCATTTACACTTCTGTACTGTTCATCTACACCCCCTGCTGGACGTTTTATTGCTTGAATCAGATAAACATAAAAGCAGCAACCTTTGTGAAATCCAGGAAATTTCTGTGGTTTGTTTATTCATCATGTTTATTGATCGGAGGTTTTCTGTACATGTGCAGCTGGAAAAGGTTATTGGGAGAGCGACGTGTAGGTGGAGATGTATTTCATTTTGTCCTTTCAAGCCTCATTTCGCTCTGAAGAAAATAAATTCAGCTCAGTGTGACTCACACACAGCTGCTTCCTCATCAGGAGCTTTATTACATACACACACACACACACACACACACACACACACACACACACAC